GACCTCTGAAGCAAAATCAACAAACATCCAGCTTGGTACGTGTCACGCACCTCACTGAATCATTGGATATTACGCTCTGAGACTCATTTCACTTTCTTAAAACCAAATTTATTTGGAAGACAAGAATTTTTAGGTAGGAAAAGATGTTACGAGTACTCTGAAATTATTAGTAAAACATCTAAAAGTATTTTGTCACCGAATCTTTGCATGCGTTCTCTTTTTCTAGGAAACTGAATTTTAGCTGTACATGTTGCTTCAGAAATGTTTGTGCATTTCCAAACACATGTGTCTTCGTTTTTTTTAAGATTAACACTATTAAAAGTAGAGAAATGACTTAAAATGATCACAATGCTCGTTACATACATCTGCATATTCATTCAAGGACCTTGGGTGTTCATTTTCATACATTTTTTCATCTACGAATATACTTAATAGTTCTCAAATTATTCACCCATCTGTAATCTTGTGCGGAATAAACGAGCAGTAGTTTGCCTTTTCTGGAACCAGAAAATTCAACGTCTTCAAAATCCGATTTCAGAATTTCTTGGTCGTGTCAGCTGAGATGGCAGTTTACAGTAAAAATATAAGATGATGTTTACAGTTCAACTACAGATAATAAACGTCAATAATAATAATAATAATAATAATAATAATAATAATAATAATAATAATAATAATAAACAGCTCAGAAAAGAATGCGCATTGTTTAAAGGGAGAAGGATTAAGACTCGAAAGCAAGTGATTAAGATCAGACATTGAGACCACGACGTCGTAATACAACGAAACCGAAAACTTCCCTGGATCATAACTGCTGAATTTGTCAGAAACAGGTAGAAACGTCGCCTCATTTAGTCCAATTCTAGTTGTCCTAGTACATAAAAAGGCACGAAAGTGTCTGTCGTTACATCTACAGACAGATCTCTAACAACTTCCACATTCCAAACACACTTTCCACGTGTCAAATACTCATCACATTCTGTGACTGTTGGGCATGTTGATCTATGTCTGTTGAACTCTGTACAATGCTGTACCACTAACAAATTCATAATATTACTACAGAGAGCAGAAAAAAGTATTGTAATTTGGAGAAAAAAATCAGTGTCCACTTGTAGATGTTGCTCTGCCATGCGATCAAAACGTCGACAAAAGATCGAGAGAAACGTCCTAAATAACATCGTCTGAATAAAGAAATCCACGGGATGCGATGCCTAAACAGACAGGTTGTCTTCCTAGTTACTTGAGCTCTGGGATTCGTTCCGCAAAATATATTGAAGAACTTGCTGACGCTCCCAGGCCATTCAAACGAATCAAAAGCTCAAGAATTCGCGTAATTTAAAACAGCGTATTTTGTGCAAAGTATTGTACAGTGCCCACAAGCATTAGATCTGCTCCTTAGAAAGCCGATTGCAATTGGGAGATCATTCTATATTTAACAGACTACTAACATCTTTAAATATGAATTTAGAATAATAATAAAATAATAATAATAAAATAACTATGACTAATCCACTCATTATGTGCATTGAAACCAATAACTATAATAACACTATAATAACTATAATAAACCAATAACACCATGAAAATGTGTAGAGAGACTTTAATCACTGCATGTGAGAGATTAAATGCTTATCATTAGGCTTTCTCTTTTTATCCGCTCGCTAAATATTTCCGACAATGGAAGGAAAACGTTGGATGTTATCGTGAGCCTTGAATAAATATAATTTTTGAACCACTACGTTCGCCTTCTCTCCGCATTTAACTCTGATGGGGCACAGTTCATTTTTTTAGAGAAATATAAAAACATTTTGGAGATCCGAACTCCATTTCAACTAAATGGGTCATCCCTGCCAGAAATTCCCTCATTTACTTGAATTACATTAATTCATCAACTAGTACCATACGTTTTATTGAAGGATGTTTCGGTTCATGAGGTTCGGTCACAGTTAAATTCAAAACATTTCAGTTTGCCGACGTTTCGAAATACTTTAATTACATCTTCAGGGTTGTTAAAACGCACAATAGCAACACAGTTTATACATTGAATTAAGACCCAACATTCATTAATCAATGTACATTAAAATCTGATAATGTATTCATATATAAATCACAAGGTACCTTACAAGTAAAAATTATACGTTGCAAATAAGTTGTGGTTTATGTATCAATATTTATCAGATTTTAATGTACATTAATTTTGTCGTGTCTTAGTTCTATATAATTAACAGTGCTGTTGCTCTGTAAATAGAATTAAAATATTCTGAAATGTTGGGAGACTGAAATGCGGTAAGATCTGAATTTAACTATGAACAAATCCCATCATCCGGAACATCCTTCAATTAACATTGATAACATGTATCTACAATCTTTATATTTTATTGTTTACGATATCTAAATGCCCTTTTTTCGCAGGTGATAGGTGACACAGGGACGCACAAATCTAAGTTGTTGATACGTTTCCAACACTTTCGCTACACACACGTTTTAGACCTTTTTTGAGCAGGGCCATACATTTTTGTTCATTAGAATACATTTTAAATTGTGCCAATGAATTCAACGTCGTGTGCATCGCTTTATTTGAACAAGAACGTTACACGCTCTTATGCGATTCATTACGCTTCGCAGCGCTGCATGCGGGCAGTCCGCGATGCAACGGTCGCCTCGGGAAACTCCAGAGCTCCAGTTGAAAAACAAAGCTCTCTATAACAAGCTCGGAGTGAGAATGTTTTAAAACGAGCTTTATTGGGTGCACCCGTACGTCACCAATTGAATGAGAAAATTTCAATGTCTTAACCGGTTAAATAAATATTTAGGGCGCTAGTAGTTATCACAAATTCATGATGACATATTCGTTAGGAATAACTTGTTTCGCATAAATCGACTACAGTTATCTGGAAATAGTAACGTTTCTATAAACAATTCGCCGTGTCACATCTAAAACGCTCCACAATATTGATATGCAATTCCCTTGTGAGGTACGTGCTACCTCTGAACCTCCTTGCTAGTTTGGCCATTTACGAGGGCTAATAATAAAAAAACTTTCCCTTACCATACCTCTGATAAAGCCATCAGAGAGGAATATCCGTAAAAATATTTTACATTGACTCTTAAAGTTTTCAATATTTCATCACACATCCTTCTAAAAATACCAACAGACCTCGCTTTCAGCTCTCCGACAAAGGGCTCCTAACCATCAAAACAGTTGGAGAATAAAAATAGACTAACTACTTAATTAAATCGCTGGTGGGGCAGATACCTTCTAATAATTATGGCAAATTAAAAGTGTTGTCTGGTAACAAAAATTATTTTTTCTAATGATCGTTTCGATCGCGTAGCGATCATCCTCAGAGCCCAGAAGCTCGTCCCGGAAGCTGCAAGCTCTGAGGATGATCGCCTTGAAACGATCATTAGAAAAATAAATTTTTGATATCAAACAAGACTAACACCTATTTCGAAAATGTAATTCTGACCCTCGTTGCAGTAAACACCCCGCACGGTGACATCTGTGCGAGGGGCGTATGACAGCGGCAGGTTGAATGGACGCACCCAGTGGATATAAACGTCATGTGAAGCACTGAAAGTCCCTTGTTAACACTCCCCCGCGCGAGCCGCGCCGCTCCAAATTGCTTCTGCGCCGATGACGTAAAGCATCGAGTTCTATTCGCGCAATTATCCACGCGATCCCTTTATTTTTGCCCTACGTCGGTGTCCCGCCAATCACCCGTTAAATTTTGCTGAGTTGTCTTCATTGTCAAATAATATGCGTTTGGTAAACGGAGGCGTGAACTGAAAGTGTTGCTTTACTTTCATTCCACAATGATGATTGAAGCCGGTCCGGGTGACCGAGATCGCTTAGGCAGTAGTGCCGTGGCGATCTCGGACCGAAGAAGCGCGGGTTCGTGTCCCGCCTCGGGCATGGTTGTATTGAGTTCCTCATTTCCCCCCTATCATCATCATATCGTGTCATCCTCATAGTACCACACCGTTACACGCAATAGTTGTCGTTAATGAGCTCGAAGTTGATGTGAGTTGATGCGTTTTGCTTAAATAACAAAAAAAAAATTTTCAGATATCAATGACCAATGCGTAGAATCTACCGACTGCGTAACTAACACACGAATTTAATTTCCTCGTATTACTTTCATTTTTTAGATATCATCGCAAGAACTATAATGAATTTTTCTAGTGGCTTGAAGGTTTCTAGTAATGAAACCCTCTCGTTACGGGGAAGCATTCGAATTTCTGTAAGAATCATCGAATTTAACACACGTTATCTCGAGTTAATCTCGAATTATTTTTCAATAATTAAAACAGCTAGAGTTACTAGTGGTAGCTAGTGTTACAGCTAGTGAAATCTATGACTCACGTCAAAATATATTATAAAGTGAGACTTATTAAATTCTGAATGGTGAAAGAAACACAGAAAGCAAGAGATTTTTCGAAAGATATGTTGGAATGTCGCGAGTAGGGGGGTTCAGCAAAGAGGCTGTGCAATGTAATAAGACATTTCATCATGAAGCAATCCCAGTTAGTGCGGTTCTGCGACAAAACAGCACTGCACTATGTTTCACGTGTTCCCCCAACTACGACGACATTCCTCGACATTTGATTCCAAACAATTGCATGCTGAATATTACCGAACCATAACGATTCATCGAGCAACGAACAATTCATCGAGCAACGAAACAAAAGCAGTTTTATTCACAAATACAATTCAATAGGGCTTCAAAAAATGCTATAATTCACCAATAATTTTCACAATGCATGTCCGAACGTTATTCTTTGGAATATCCGACTAATAATTCGTAGTGAACATTCAGAAATTACCACACTGAACTGTGACAGGTGTGTTCGGAATACTACAACGTAATCGTATAAGAGAAACAGGGGCGTCGAGCAGGGAGAGTTTGGAAGGGATGTGGTGGGCGACGAGCGTTTCAGTGAAATAGGAGCCTCGCACGTGGAAATGCACGTCGTCAGTGATATTAGCGCTGCGCACTCACCGCTGCCCCAAGGTCGCCGGTGCCCGCTTCTGCAGCTGCTGTTGCGGTGCTGCGGCGGGCCGACGCGGCGGCGACGGAGGCGGCGGCGGCGACGGAGGCGGCGGCGGTAGACGCGGCGGCTGCAGCACTGGCCAAGAGCGGACTGGCGCCGACCGCCGCAGCCCGAGGCGCCGCTCGCCGCGCTCCCGGAGCGCTCTGGCGGCGGGCCGCCCAAGCAGGCGGCGGGCGCAGGCGCGACGGGACGGGGCGGAGACGGGGCGGGGCGGAGAGGGGCGGGGCGGAGAGGGGCGGGGCGGAAGAGGGGCGGGCAGAGAGACGGGGCAAAGAGGGGCGGGGCAGAGAAGGGGCGGGGCGGGAGGGGTCGGGCGGAGAGGGGCGGGGCAGAGAGGGACGGGGCAAGAGAGGGGCGGGGCAGAGAGGGGGGGGCGGAGAGGGGCGGGGTTCAGAGGGGCGGGGCAAGAGAGGGCGGGCAGGAGGGGCGGGGCAGAGAGGGGCGGGGCAGAGAGGGGCGGGGCGGAGAGGGGGGGGCGGAGAGGGGACGGGGACGGGACGGGAACGGGGACGGGACGGGAACGGGACGGGGAAGGGACGGGACGGACGGACGGGACGGGACGGGACGGGGCAGGATGGGACGGGACGTGGGGCGGGACGGGGCGGGGTGGAAGTGTGAGAAATGTAGGATGTAGAATGGATTTGAATAAAAAGGAATGGAGGGAATGGGGGCGGAACGAAAGGGTGGAACGGGCGAACGAAGGATCCGCTTCAATTGCGATGAGTAGAACGAGCTGGACGAGGGAGTGCGTGTAAGGTGTGGGACGGAGCGAAGTAGAAGGAGTGCAGAGGGAGAGAGTCGGTGAGATAGAGCCGGTGTGCGGAATGAACCAGCGTGCAATTATATGGAGCGTGTTGCATGGAAGTGAAGAAGTAGTGAAACGGGTGGAGCGTGATTTGAACTAAATAGAGCGTGGAGGTGCGGTTGTGAGATGTGGGTCTGTGGTGGAATGGGATAGAGGCGTGTGGACAGTTGGAATAGAGCGTGAGTGAAATGACGTGGGTGGTAGAAGGTAGTTAGGGGTGTGTGATACGGGAGGAGCGTGTTGAACGGGGCGGAGGTGAAGAACGACCGTGAGCAGCCTGAAACCGATGGAGCGTGTTTAGAACGGGGAGGGGGTCCTGGCAACGGGGTGTGGCGTGGTGAAAGGGGGCAAGAAGTGAAAGGACCCACTAAACGCGGAAGGAAGGCGGGGGGCAGGTCGGAGGGTGAGACGGGGGTGCGGGGGGGGGCGTGTCTACTCCACGGCGCCCAGGGACTTTCAACTCCCATATAACGTGGCGGAAACAATTCCAGTAGCGCGCTCTGCTGCAGCACCTTCTTACGGGAACTAAAATACGAACTGCTGCCAACGATACTTTAAACGTGCGTGACAGCTGCTTCAGTTCGCGAGACGCAAGCAGGTGTGTATGTTACAAAAGACAGCGTCGATGTACGCGCTTTCTTCAGAGGTTTCTTAAATGTATAAGTGAACATTTAGAAGACACTTTTCGTATTTATCATAAATTAACCAATTTTTGTGAGCGAAAGTTGGCGAGCCGAACCTGCAGCTGCACCCGGCGACACTAGCTCCTATCGTAGTAGCGCCCTCCAGCTTTGTCCCGGTTTTGATGGAGTTCAAAGGCCCTGACGGTGCCGCAGAGAGCGAGGAAAAGCGGGCGTGTGGGCTCCTCCTCGAGATGGCCCAGTGGGAAGGTGGGAGGGAGGGAAAGAGCGAGAACTTGACGGCGAGCAGGTAACTGGAGGGCGAAGTTCGAGCCCTGTGAAACCCAATATAGCTATTCTGCAGTTCTAGAGCGCTTACTAGGCGGCTCCGCTGCCGTGAAGGGAAATAAGGTCTCCTCATTTTCTACAGCTGCCAGTCACAGACTATTTTATAATCGGGGGTCTCCGCCAAAAGCTTTCTTCCTCTGATTTTCAACAATTCTATTTCACTCTTAACCTAGGTTTTTTAGAACATATTTTCAATATTTCCCCCGCGGTTTTCAAGCAAAAAGTTTTTCGTATTGTTATTTTGTTATTTGACGTAACTTGTATTTTCTCATTTTTTTGGTATATACATTTATAATTTCCTTGCGTGAATTATCACCATTCCTACAGTGCACTGCACTTTCACTTAACTATGACCCTTAAATCACTTCCTTCGTTATTTCTCTGCTCTGCACTGCACGACACCTCACTTCCCAATATAACTAATGCATCGCAATATAACCTACTATTCTTAAATAAGTCCTTAATTTACTGATTAACCATAAATTAATTTTTTAAACTGTTGAATGCTTTGAGAACAGACTTCAAAGGTTTTTTTTCTGGCAAACTATTCCATTTCGTTTTCGTTCCAAAAATTTCACATTCTTCAACACAAAATAGAACTGCCCATCTCTCACAAACTCTGCAACATACATCCATTCTAGAACGGAGACAATATCTCCGTTCAAAATTGTATGTAGTTTCAAAAAATGTCATCATATGTCATATTTGGATGATAGGGTGATACCCCTAAATGTGTCATTTAGGGGCATTTCTTTGAAAGTCGTTTTTTTAGAGGTTTCGAGTAAAAGAAAATAACAATAAATTTCAATTGGCTCTATCTCCTAAACTATTAAAGCCACAACAGTGAGATTTACATAAGATATTATATGTACGTTACCCTTTATCGTGAACAAAAATAAGAACTATGACATATCGTAAACAATGATAAGTTTTAGTTATAGAAGAAGCTGTTTACAATTGCAACTTCGTATATTGTATATTTGATAAAAATGGCGTGTGTGGCGTATATTCGTCACAAACTTTTGTGCTAGGACATTGGTTTTGAAGAATCCGGCTCATGTCGAATATCGAAAAATTGGAAACCCATAGGTTGTTTACAAAAACATTAGTTGAAAGAGGTATCACGCATCTCCTCACAATATGTTGACGTTCCGCACAGGTAAAAATTAATTTTCATCTTCAGTACATAAATTACTTAACACAAAGTGCCTTGGGAATACTTACTTGAGATCAGTCTGTCATCATCATCCAGTTGTCTTCATTGGATAAACATTTAGCTCATTGGGGGGGGGGGTTCAACCTCCAGGGTGATGGTTCAATTCTGACTGATGGTGTATTTTCTAAAGTTGTTCTGCATAGACTCCCATTACGCTTCCCGGACATAAGCACTTTCTGACAGACATTCTCGAAATTTCATTTTGCGAGAATATTACAGAGATGTCTCATTCGCTAACTACGAACGCAAAATTAGTTCCTGAAACTCATGGATTCACAGAGATTCGCCAAAGAAATTCAAACACCAGCAGAACATCGACATACTTATCCACATCCACACCCATATTACACTCATCCACATAGGAGGTAGACTGAAAAGACGACAAGTCGAAACTGCATTCCCGTACGTAGAATACACATACAAACGGTTTTCTCAAAATTTCTGCACCAGCCCGTGTGAAAGACAAATAAAAACGTTGTGAGCAAACAAAACTAACAAACAGCGAAAAAAAGAAAAAAAGAAAAAAGATAGAAAGAAAACTAACTTGTTTCTCCCTCATCTTCCTCTTGTATAGGCAAGTGTTGGCTCGTGTCTCAAGATGCTGTCCTGTTTCTGTAATTTTCTCTACTGTTACTTGTCAGAACTATTTTTCTATAAAGGTCACTAATTCCAGACAGGGCTGAAAATTGCATGTAAAATGTAAAGTATAACAGTTTATTCAATACTTCATTGTTATATTTTATTATTTTAGCTTGTTGCGATTAGTACGAGCTCAGCTAGTAATAGTTATTAAAATATTTTTCTATCACATATTTCGAATAATCCTTTAGGTTTGTTTATTTAGTGCTTCACAGGGATGTTAAAATAACTACGTAAAACGACATAAAGATCGTTTGATTTTCAATGAGCATTGAATGTTTAATTTATTGAACAAGAATATACTTTTTTTAATGCGCTCTTTTTGTTCATTGTTTCACGTTTTGGAGAGAAAGAGAGAGAGAGAGAGAGAGAGAGAGAGAGAGAGAGAGAGAGGCAGGGAGAGAGACATATTCTTCAGAGAGTCAGAACTACTTTGTTTCACAATAGTACTGTCATCATGAAGTCATCCTACTGTTTTTTACTAAAAAGTCCATGCTTTATGCTGTCTTGGCTGTGAGATAAACATTGTTAAAATGCAATAAATAACCTTTTTGAGACCATAAATTAATATCATTAATTATATTTTGGACATTACATTGAACAGTCTATACCTAACAGTTGGTACCGAATGTGAAAATGCTGGAAACAGTCAAAGCGAGGCATATCAAATATTGATATTGATGTCAAAGTAGCTGCTACCCCTGAGATTAGTTGGTACGGGCTGAAATCTCTTCTTAACAGTTGATTTTTTTTGCCCTGATAAATGGTCTCTAGAACTAAATACGTGATATCTCATGACCCGAGACTAGAAGAATCAATAAAAGCATTTTGTTTAATACTTATTAGCTGTTTTACTGTAACGTTTTATACACCCTGATTTTTTCAAGATTACTTATTTTTGAAGAATCAAAATATTTCATGTACTTTGACACAACCACTGAGGCAGTTTTGAACAGTATCATCGCAACAGGAAATCTGAAATATTGTTTTCTCAGGACAGTAATTGTGCTGATAAGGCCATGTCATACCACTGTGGCGTCAGATATGCTGTTGTCACCAGTAGGAAACATTGTATCACTGTCTTACACTGATCCCAAACACTGCCACATGATACAAATCAAGTGCTCTCATCATCTTAGAAAGATCAACAACACATCTCCCGAAACTCATCTACTCCCTTATTTCTACATTGCAAGGAAAATTGGGGTTAGCAGTAACCGATTATAGAATATGGTTTCCAGACACGTCAACTTCTCATGTCATTAGTCCTGTAAATATAGGGCATGTTGTATACTGGAAAGTTGTGGTGATCCTTTCCCCCTGGAATATGTCACACGACGCGACCTACACGTCGACATACGGGGTTTTCCCCTCCACATATCTCCCCTAGTGGTTCTCCCCCGCCCCCAGGCACAACTATCTCTAAGCTCTCAGCTGGATTCTCGACATATGCGGTAGTATTGATCATGTAAATGTCAGAGTGTGTGAGTGTGTGTGTATAAGGAGAAAAAGAGGCAGGAGTGGGAATGAAAAGATGGCACCCGCGATCTGTGGCCCGTTTGTTAAGGTACTGCTTCAGAGTTTAATTGGTACTGAGAACCGAAAACTACCAATCAGGGCATGGGAGAGCTTGAATTCTCTTACAGCTGAATTCCACCTACCAATTACTGTCCAAAATCCACTTCTTGATCCTAGTGACTCGTATTCCGGCGAGTGACACTACAAAGACAACAGCAATGTTGTCTCAGAACAATCCGAGGTAGTCAATTCCACACTAAAATTTTGAGGGGCCATCAGCAGCACCGTATAATGGATTCTCTAAATGAACTTGAAGTATGAAATAAATTTCTCAAAATAAATATGAAAACAAACTTCATCTAACCTTTGCAGTGTAGAAAGTCCCTTTGATTTCGTTGTTATAATCTGTTATACACTTGTTTTCAAAAATAAATTGGAGACCCTGTCGAAGAGGGGCTCCTGCACGTGCTTCGTCTGCATAGTCATTAA